ATTTGATTTCACACAACGTACAATTTTGAAAATGTTAATGAAAACTAATTTACCATAAAGAGATTTTTCTTCTTTTCCCGAATTCTTAAACAAAAACTTATCAAGAAATTTTGAACCTTTCATAGTAAATAGATCTCAATGAATAGACCAAAAGCTTTTAGGATATTGATGTGGGTGTCATTCTTTTCTTCATCCACACCTACACTCTGTTTGATTTATTTTGTTAAATTCAATAAGATTTTTTTCAGCATCACTATATTTATTCAACATAATTAAACATCGACAATAATCTAATAATTTATTGACAGTTAGTTCAGTTTTAATTCCATTCAAATTCTATAACATTTGTATATATCTTGCCATTTAGATAATGAAAGTAAGGTAAGGACAAAAAGTTCGCGACATTTTTCATATCGATATAAATAGAAGAATTTCTGAGAATTTCTTTCAACAAATTACACCACAAGATGCAGCGTGGGGTGTGGATGTGGGTGTGGGTGTATTTGTCGATCTTTTCTTTACCCACACCCACACTCTTCATTAAAATAGAACCGAATATTGACTAGCTTAATATTAAAATGATCAGAGCAAAAAGTTCTATGAATTTTGAAAGTTTCAGAAAAATTAGAGGTGATCGCTAGATGGACCTGGTATAATCTCATGGATTTACCAAAATATGACCAAGTAGACATAATTTTTATCGAATTGTGTCTGTTTCCTAATATTAGTTCTAGAGTGTGAGGGTGTGATAACTCTTCATCTACACCCACACACCCACCCACCACGCACGCATCCCCACACCCTCAATGTTGTGCTGTATCACGATTCGAATTTGATTGATGACCTGATGAGAACATTATAAATGTTTTATTTACAGCAGATAGATAGAAGAAGGCAAGAGAGAGAATGGCTAAAAGTAGAAGAGACGACGTATATAACTTATCGACAGAACTTCTTTCATACTTGATTTGTTTTCCTTTGTAAATAGTGGTCATTCAGTTTGATTCATTCTTGTTCTAATATTAGAAGAGGTAAATCAAAGTAGCTATTCGTTCTTTTTCAACTTATAATTTGTATTTTTTACAAAAATAATCTATACGCATAAAGCAATCTTTTTCTCTTGCAAAATCGTCATTCCTAATTATAACAGTTGTTTCAAACTTACAAAAGTATAAATTATTGAAACGAAATATTTTTGCAAAACGGTTCATAAGTATATTGCAATCCTTAGACATGGTCATACTCTCGCAAAATTTCGACTCCTATACATTTTTTTTCCTTGTAAACAAAAGAGTATCATAAAAAAATCTTTCAATCCACATTTTTAGACTTTTTCCAACTTGTCTTTGAAAATTTATGAAATAAACATTGATCCGATTTTTCAACTAACCTTGTAAAAACAAAATTTTCTATTCATTAGTCTTAGTATTTGATCATTACCTTCTTAATATCTCATTTAATACAAGTAATGGAACTCTACAAAAAATATATACATGTACGTTTCTTCAGCTTTCATTATAAGAGGACATCAAGTATAAACCTAAGTTGCATATATCTCTTTTTTTGTTCTCTTTTTTAGTATATATAGAGCTTCTCTATTAATATGGACAGATCCAAAAAAATGTCTTTATGAATTCTGATAAAGCATAGAAAAATGGCCGTCGAATGAGTATAAAAGTTTAAATATTCGAGTGACAGCTAACCCTTTTTCAGAACACACAACACATCGCACTTCTCTGTCGATATTTAGTTTTTCATATATTTTTCATTCTTTTTTTTATACTTATCTCTTTTCTGATGTTTGTTCGAACGTAGAACTCGATTTAGATTCATTTTTATTCGTTCAAAACTACATCAGATAAGTTATCAAAATTATCTATGTCAGAAGCCGAAACCATGCCGAATGGAAGTACTTTTATTCAGTCAACTCACTAGATCACAAACTAATCAGAAAAAAAAGATAAAACTTTGAAATATATTCAATCACAGTTTGATAAGTACGAACAAAATATAGATCATCTGTTATTTTTTCTTTTTTTAGAAAAAGCAAGACACAATAGTAACTATCATCACTTAATATTTTACTGAACGACAGGCCTTATTATCCTATTTAAATAGCCATTGAGTTACATTTGAGCGCGATGATACTAGAAAAACAGATCAAACGAAAATTGTTTGCTATGAAAAATCCAGACCGAAAGAATTATAGTTTGAACGTTCAGGTGTAAATTTGCCATTGACACTAATAAAATTGACTTACTAATATTATATAAAATCGATAATAGGCTCAAATAAGTTATACAGACATAAAACCTATGTTGTTGAAAGAAAATAGTCTTTAGATATATAAATACATTCTAAGAACTTCGAAAATAATCTATTTATATTTTTTAGATTCATAAATCTAGTAACACAATTTTTAACGTAAAAAAATTTTGTTTTACAAGTATTTATGTATTATCATTTTTCTTTCTTGTTTTTATACATGATTAGATGGCTTATTTTTCTATGATCAATAGAAAATTCATGTTATTCTTATTTTTTTCTCTCTCAATTAATTATTTGTATGGTGATCAGGTAAACAAAGAGCTTAACAAGCTTCTAGACGTTGTTCAATATTAGATCGATGAGTAGGCATATTTTCACTTCTGAAAAAGAAAGAGAATATATGTGTATTTCTGCTTTTTTTGCGTTCTTTTCAACGAAAAACTTGCATGGCATATTAGAAGACATGATTTATCGTATGAAGGGTAAAAGAACAAAGAGAAAGACTTGTGCAAATGCATATTCAAATCGTATTCCACTGTAGACCTCCTGATTAGACAGAGAGGGGCTTTCCTCCCTCCCCAAAATTTCAGACATTCTGCCGACATTTCCGATACTACTTTCTGTAGAATTTATAAAGGTCAGTTCAGCAGAAAACTTCCGGTTTTACTGGAATAAAATTAAACTAAAGTTGTTTTCTGTGAAATTTCTCACAGAAAGTCGATTTCATTTCTGCTGTTATGTATCGTCATCTTCTCTTAAGTGACATATACTCATGTATGAGACGATTGCAAGTCATTTGTACAATTGAGAAAAAAAAGCAATGGCTAAGCTTATATCTTGTAGAATTCTCAATCAAATTCAATAATTTTATCAGAGAATATTCTTGGCAAGTGTGGCCAATTTGGCTGCTAAAATCAGCCATTTAGCTATTATTTCTCAATAGTGGGCACGAAAATGATGTCGTTTTTCCAATGAAATTTCACATAGTCATGTCCAATGGCAATAAATGAATTTGATTTTTTTTTCTGTTAAGAATACTTTTAAAAATTTATTCTAACATATTAGTATCTTCGTAAGATTCGCTAGAAAATGCACTATTTGATTTAGCCAAGTAGCGTTTATTTTATTTGTATTTACTCGAAGTATTGGTGGCCTAAGATTTGGTCGAAAATGTTCCGTCACACTGTAAGCTGTTTTTTTCCCTAATAAAAACTTCAACGAAACCCCCATTCAATTATAGTCAAAATGTAGCTCCGAGAAAAAGAAATAAGTTGTAATTTAAACAAAATCTATGGTATTTTGTATTGGAAAAAAAATTAAAAAACTCAGTCTTCAAACAGGAGTTTTTCTCGCTAAATGTCCCGTCACGCTTTATTTTTGTTTTTTATGTATCTCGAGCTCTACTGTACCATAATCAGTATAATTTTCAGCAAAAGTAGACCGCTAGGTATAGAAGAGACACACCAAATTTCGGCTCTTTGTTGTTTGTTGTTTCGGAGAAAATTACAAAATACTGATCAAATGTCCCGTCACGCCTTTTTGACAGTAAAAGTAATGTTTTTCGACCAAAACAGAAAGAAATTTAGATGTGTCTTATATGAATCGAAAACTCTTTGAAAGAGTGATCTTACTAGACGTGTTAAAACTCTTTCGAGTGAAAAGGGTCAGTTTGCTTAGGTAAAAATAGAAGCACATAATTTGGCCTGTAGAATTCTACTCTTACATAAAGCCTTTTTCGAAAAACTGAACTTCCAAAATTCAAAGCTTTGCTATGAAAGTCATTTAAAATTTAATTTCTTCATTAGCTCTGGTCAGTCTCATTTATTTCTTGAATAGTACTATCTACGCCAATACACAGAATCATTCCAGTGAAAAATGAAATTTTCAAAAGAAGTTGAAGTCAAATTGTACAAATGATTTGCAGTCGTCTCGTATGTATCTAAAACAGTGATGAAAACTAATTATCAAAATATTTGTCCTTTTTCACTTCGACATAATTTTATATTGAACAACTTTTATATCGAATTAGTTATGATTAGGTTGTGGGGCGTGTTGTTGAGAAGACTCGATCAATACCCACCTATACCCTTCAACATGTCAAAAGACAGAGTATCAAAAGGTAAGAAAAAATGAGTTATTTAAGAAATTGTATATCATCTATTTATCGAGCTAATATCGATGAAAAAATACTGAAGTTTTCATAGGTTATATAGCTTTTAGTTCTCCTCAAAATGGCAAAAAAAAATATTGGAAAAAAAGCTTTGTGTTCTATGTCAAATGCAGATTACGCTGTCACTAGTCAGGGAAACAATGTAAAAGAAAATGATCTTGTGAATTTTTCGATCTGTTTTGTTCATGAAAATTGTTATCTCAAAGTAATTCAAACTTCACTCTGGATAGAACATAAGATCGACATTCAAGATTAATTATAATTTATTTGTATACGATTGACTCTTTGCATATATCTAAAGTCAACTTGTTTTCATTGAAATTCATAAAAATATCTATTCATAACTTACTATACTTGTCCTTTGAGCAATAATCTTAAAAAGTAAGAAAAAATGTTATTTGATGATTAGTTCAAATGAGAATTAATCGTTTAATTATCTTTATAAATTGTAAATGTTTTGTATATTTGTTAAATAGAAGTTTGATCAACTGTATTTGTCTGAGAAAATTAAAACTATTTTTATAATAAATATTGATATTGATTATAGGATATAAAATCAGTAATGCAATTGAAACGATCATCTGGAATATTGCTACATATAACATCACTACCATCATCATATGGAATTGGTGATGTTGGTCCAGAAGCTTTTAAATTTATTGATTTTTTAGTTGAAACAAAACAAAAATTGTGGCAAACATTACCTATATATCCAATCAATTCTCCATCACCGTATTCAAGTATGAATTACTTTCCAATCCAAAAAAAAAAATTTTTTTTCTAATGAAACTCTCTAGAAAAGGCAATCGAAGATGTACAACATGACTAAAGATCTGAATGTGAAGGTGAGCTTGAGGATTATTCTCTTTTAACGTATATCTATGAAGTAGAAAGATAAAAACAAAATCGATGGTATCTTAATCGTAGTACATGTATCAGTTTAAATTTTGTTGTTTATGCAGAAAATATTTCAAAAATTTATTTAACGTTTTTCTTAGAATATCGGTTCGACAATTTATATCTGATGGTTTTCTATCAGAATAATGCATTAAGTACGAAGTATTATGTTTAGAACTAACGAGTTTTGTAGCTCTTTTACAAAAAACACTCGTCGAAGGAAAAATAGAATGTTTGTGTCTATCAGAATTTAGCTATTTTCATAGAATTTCAGTTTTATTGATGTTTTCGTTTCACATAGGCCTCCAAACTAAACGAGAAAGAAAACTATAAAAATAAAAAAAAACTGACTTTTTTGGTCGAGATGGTAAAGTATTACTGGAGATGCTAGAGGCCCCAAAACAGATATCATACATATAATAAAATTTTCCTAGTTGCCACCAAAATAAAAAAGAGATATAAGACGAAACTTTTTTCGATGTAGGAATGTATAGGATGTAGGTGTGGGTGTGTGATAACTTTTCATCTACATCTACACTCATACCCATCCTTGTATTTGATAAAATATAATTTTTTTGTTGTTATTTTTTTTCAATAGGTTTATCAGCATTTGCAGGTAATTCATGGTTAATATCACCAGATAAATTATTAGAAGCTAATTTAATATCAAAAGATGATTTAAAATCAATTGATCGATCAAAATTTAACAATGCATATGTTAATTTTAATGAAATAAAAAAAACAAAGAGAAATTATTAGAAAAAGCATATCTTAATTTTAAAAATAATAATGAACAGTCTTCAGAAATTTTAAATGATTTTTTTCAACGTGAAAAATATTGGATTGATAATTTTACATTATTTATGACAATCAAAGAAAAAGTAAGACTACGGATGACATTCTTTATCAAAAAGCATTTATCTCATTTGATATTAAATATTCGAGTAGTTACTAGAATTTTTGTTTTCGTTTGTAAAGCAAAATGGAGAAGTGGAAAAACAAACATAGACAGGTTAGAACATTTCTGAGAACTTTACGGTGAAAAAAAAAAAAGAGAAAATCATTTAAGAGCTCCATATTTATAATTCATTACAGAAATATATGAGTTTCAATGTTGCGTTGATCTCTTCTGCCGTCTTGTGATGGCGAAGGACTATCAGAATTGTTGATTTTTCAAGTCTTCTGAGTGATCTTTTTTTGTTAAGAATCGAACTAAGTCTCTATTATGAATCATTGTGTTAATAGATTTCTATTTTGAAATCGTCTTGATTTATTTCATTTATTTTTAAGGAAATTAGAATAGTGATTGTAATTTATGTCCACGAAAAACCGTAAGAAATTTCTATACGATCGAAAACAATCGTATTGCATCGTAGACGACCTTTTTATGATCGTTCATGTAGCTAAGTATTACAATCTTATATTATCTGTGATCACATACAGAGAAATATGGCATAAAATTGAGACAATAAACTAACGTTTCGATCTCATTCAATGATCATATTTCTCAGAGAAAAATAACTTTTCAGCTACTTCATAGATCTCTAATGCATTCATTGAATAAAATTTTTCAACGAGAATTTACTTATGTATGTTTTTTGAACATGAAATAAATTTTTTATCTTAATAGAAAAACATTTTAGAAAATTATTATTCTAACTTATCTTTTTTTTTATTATCCTGTAGTTATAAAAAAAAACATATCTTAATTAAAGAAAAAAACAAATAAATTGTTTATTTAGTATAAAAATAGTACATGGTCCGATTGGCCTGAACCTTTACGTCGTCGTGAACAAACTGCATTACAAAGGATTCGTAAACTCAAAAAAGATCGTATAAAATATTATTTGTTTGTTCAATATATATTTGATCAACAATGGAATGACTTAAAAAAATATGCAAATGATTCTAACATAAAAATAATTGGTGATATTCCTATGTATATTGATTATGATTCAGTTGATGTTTGGGCAAATTCTCATATATTTCAATTAGATCACAATGATACCATGAAACCAACTGTTATAGCAGGTATTTTTAATCGCAGAACTCACATTATGTTTTTTTCGATGAAAAATATAGTGTGTGTAAGTTTTAATTAGATTATTCTCGAACATTTCAAAGCCTTGTTCGAAATTTGAATGAATGGAATACGTTTATGAGTGTTCTAGTATAGTTTTTGATTTTTACATAGATAAGAAATTATACTCAGGAATGACGGGTAGTGATTAGAGACCTGCAGTGTCAAGTTCTTTTTATTCTGAAATCCGGCTCTGAAAAATTTCTTCTTTATGATCTCTAATGTATTTTGTTTTTTGCTTAACTTTGAGTGTATACAAATCGATAAACAAATAGAGGAATGAAAGAAAATCAAAGAATCATCAAAAGATTAATTTTGAATTTCTTTTTCACTTGTTGTGTAGTGGAAATAGAAAAAACAATAACTAAGAAGTATTTTATATGTATAGTGGACAGCAAAAGTTTAAGATACTTTTATTTTTGAACTTTTTCAGTGGAAATGAGTAGCTAGGCCAAATCCAAATAGTGATTTGGATAGCTCTTGAAATTCTCTATCGAATACAACATGTGTCGAGTCTTAAAAAAAAACTTTGTGAAAAGGGATTTTCAGAAAACCACGATAGGGGGGTTTTGAGTCCTAGAGGATTTTGACAAAAACATTTTTCAATATAGTCATATGAAAGAGCAGAAAATTCTGAACAAAATGAGGAGTGGCGCAGCTCTGTACGATGTTCTGTCGCAAAATTATAAGCATTAGAAAATGTCAAAAAATTGCAAATTTTATGGAAAAACCCCTAAAAATCGACTAAAAACAAATTTTTTTGACATTTTCTAATGCTTATAACTTTGCGATAGAACATCGTACAGAGCTGCGCCACCCCTCATTTTGTTTAGAATTTTCTGCTCTTTCATATGATTATATTGAAAAATGTTTTTGTCAAAATCCTCTAGGACTCAGAACCTCCTATCGTGGTCTTCTGGAAATTTCTTTTCACAAAGTTTTTTTAAGACTCGACACATATTGTATTTGATAGAGAATTTCAAGAGCTATCCAAATCACTATTTGGATTTGACCTAGCTACTCATTTTCACTGCAAAATTTCAAAAATGAAAGTGTCTTAAACTTTTGCTGTCCACTATACTATGCACTAGCAATCGAGAATTGTTGTACTTCAGATGACACTGAAATATTTCTTGATTAATGGTATAATGTTTTTATGTGGTTGATTTTTTGAATGTTATAGGCGTAAGGTGACCCATTTGTTTCTTGTTATGAAATTTATTCTTAATATATGTAGTGAGTAGAGTCTTGCAAATTAGTTTCAGAGTCGTTATCGGAATCAACTGATTTGTTTTGCAAATATTTCGACTTAGTATAGAAACTTTTTTCGAATTGAAAGTTTTGTTCTCTGATATTTACTGTATATACTGATGTATTTTGACTATTTCAACGACATCTTATCAATATCTACAGATATGAAAGAAACTCGGAGTTAAATTCGATCTCGATTTTTTGTTTCACTCTGATTTTCGTTCATGTCCGTAGATATTGATAAGATATCGTTGAAACCTCCAGAATGCATCAGTTTATACAGTAAATATAAGAAAACGAAACCTTTAATTCGAAAAAATTCCTATGCTAAATCGAAATTTTTGGCAAAACAAATTAGATGATTTTAACGACGACTCTGAAATTGATTCTGTGCAGAACTATGACAGTGAGTTTTGTCTTTCGTTTTGTTCTATTTGTTAATAATGAAAAATAAAGTTATTGTAGTATCAAATAGCAAACGTTCATTAGACGTGGTTATAGTTTAGAGTTCGATTTGACCCCAAAAACTTTTTTCTTTCAGTAATTCCGACTTCGACGGAGTCGGAGTTGAAATCGAATTTTAGAGTTCTCCGCAGATCTCTAATAGTCGTGCATTGATTTGCCACAGTCGTCACATGATCAACATAAAAAGTGTGAACTAATCACGATATATAATAATGCGTTTATACAAGTTGTAGATATAACGAATATGTACAACAGACTTATTTGCCAATTAAATTAATGATTACAATAATAATAATAGAGTTGAATTAAGAAAAAAAACAGACTATGAAAAAGAAAAAAACAATGAGCGATTGTTAAAAACAAAAATGTTGTTCAAAATGTAGAATTAAATAAGACAGATCGTTTTCCTGCCGAATGATTATCCTTGAAAAACAACTATAGTTTGCTAGAGACCTTTCACTTAATGTATTTCGTATTAGTATAATGAGGCACAAGAGTACATTTGTGCTCCATGTTTTAGTCTTAAAGGGGCTACGTTGACAAGCTTTTTATTCATAATTATTAATCAAATCTTGATAATATTGAAAATAATTACAGAAAGCAATAAATATATTTTTTTCTTATTGTTATTATTTGATAGGTGTTCCACCTGAGCATAAATCAGATATACTACAAAATTGGAATATGCCAATCTATGATTGGAATAATAAAAATGCTAGACAAGATTTATTTGATTGGTGGATAAAACGTTTACGTAGAACATTGTCAATTGTTGATTTAGTTAGAATTGATCATTTTCGTGGTCTAGAATCACATTATGTTATGCCAGTTGATATTGAAACACAAGAACTAAATATTTCACAAGCACATTGGGTTAAAACACCGTAAGTTAAATCAAATGGAAATATTTTTCTAGAAGTGTTTTCCACCAATCAATTGATTTGATATCAAACAAGAATTTATTTCATTGGAAATATAGATTCGAAACAAAAACATTTCTCAATTAATTAATCATTTTTAATATTAGACAATGAAGAATATGATTGAATATTTTCTGAAATTAAAATATCTTTTTTCCCGAGAAAAATATTGAGTGCAAGTTTAAGAATGACGATTGAATTCAAAGCACAAGCAACAGATCCTTCCTCTCTCCTCTAATACCAACACAGGCAGACAGTAACTTACCAACAGAAGAATTAACAGATAGAGTATCAATAGAAACCTTGGGAAGCAATGAATTCTTATCAAAGAAATTTTAGATAACGTATTTTGTATATTATTATAATCAATCTGACGAGGAAAGGTCATCAACTGATGAATGAATTTTAAGTCAGTACTACAATGATCATGTAGATCTTAATGAACTATGAATACTATGAACAGATTTTCTGTTAGTTGCTTATTACTCTCAAGATATCGCATTTTTATACTTTTTTTTTAGGTCAATGTCATGATCCTTCTCAGAAATATCAAGAAAATTGAGTTTTGAAATTCGACTGGAAACTTTACACACAGACAAGAGTTAACAACAATAGATTATTACGAGAGATCTTTTGATGTCTCTTATTATGTTCTTGAAAGGATGGTATTACATTATGCTAAAATATACGGTAGAAATATAGTATCTCTCGACAGCAATAAGATAACAATTCAGAATCTTTTCAGAATACTCATAGCTCATTGGGACTTACATGCTACACATTGTTCCGATTTAAAAGCAGTTTATCACATTCCCTTATGAGAAAGATAAGTCAAATTAAACATTTAAATCTATTAAGAAACTGAATTGGCAAACTATTTAATAAATGATTAATAGAAAAAAAACCAATGTTCAAATTACTTTGAAATAAAATTATCATTATCTTTCTCTTATCTGATTTGACTAATATCAAAATATTTAAATTAAATCCTTTTATTGATATTTTAGTGGCCATGAATTATTGACAGCTGTAACAGAATCACTTGGTTCAGATATTCCATTAATTGTGGAAGATTTAGGTAATGTTACACCAGAAGTATTTGAATTACGTGATCGTTTTCAATTATTTGGCATTAAAATTTTACAAATGGGATTTTATCAGGATTCAGATAATATTTATTCTCCCCATAATTATATTCCAAGTTCAATTGCATATACAGGTTTTTATCGTATTATTTTGATTATAAATAGGACAACTACTTTTACAACTTTATAAATTTTCTCATTGAAATATCTTTCGTTAGTAAGTTATTAAACAATAATTCATCTATATGTAGATAAGTATAACATGTTTTTATACCTAACAAATCAATGTTAATTAGATTTCGTGAAATTCACATATATTTTCGAAGAAAATAGTAGATGTAAGTTTTAAGCCGAGATTTTATGGCTCTTTCTTCCCTCTCGCTACATACATTACCAATCGGAATACATTCTTTTCTCAGAACTCCTTAGCAACAGAAAAACATACTGAATGGCATTAACAATTATGCTTACGAGGGAACGTCTTCAACTGTCCAATCCCTTTTGAGTTCGGACTTTGTGCAAAGAGGTAGACCCTAGTGAAGTATGAAAAACCTCAAAAGATTAAATACCCCTAGACCTTCTGTCCAAAGTTATAGGCATTTTACTGGAATTTTAGCCTATAGCATGGTATATATTAATAAATTGAATGACAGTATTTCGACCTGAGATTTTGTCCACAGGCAAGTCTATTCATGAATGAAATATCCTGAAAATTTTAGCTGAAAAGGACGTTTTCTTCCCGAGATATTTAAGTCTCAAAAATGGCTCATATACTATAAAAGATACTAGAATTTTCTGTTTTGGGGGGCTTAAATATCTCGGGAAGAAAACGTCCTTTTCAGCAGAAACTTTCAGGATATTCCACTCATAAATATACCTGCCTGTGGACAAAATCTCAGGTCGAAATACTGTCATTCAATTTATTGATATATACCATGCTATAGGCTAAAATTCCAGTAAAATGCCTATAACTTTGGAAAGAAGGTCTAAGGGTATTTAATCTTTTGGGGTTTTTCATACCTCACTAGGGTCTATCTTTTGCACAAAGTCCGAACTCAAAAGGGATTGGACAGTTGAAGACGTTCCCTCATTAGACTATTTTGGAACATTTCAAAGACTTCCTTGAGATTTAAATGATTGAAAAACATTTGTGATTGTTCTCTAAAAGTTCAGTTCTTTTTATTTTTCCACACACAAAAAAATCGTATGATAAATGTCAAGAATAATGAGTAATGATGTAATAAATAATGCAGGAACTCATGATAATCCAACAACATTACAATGGTGGACAGAAAAAGCATCGGAAAAAGAAAAATGTCAATTTATTGAATATATTCATCGGCCAATAGAAGGTGATAAAGAATTAATTAATGATTTAAAACTTGAAAAACATGTTGATAAATATATTTGTTGGTATTTCATACAAGTTCTTTTACAATCAGCTTCAAATGGCGCAATTATTCAAATGCAAGATCTTTTAAATATTTCAACAAGAATGAATGAACCAGGAACAGGTTACTTATATTATTACATATTGTAAAAAGAAGAAATATTTACCATTCAATAAGGAAATTTTTGTTGGATTATTTGAGAATTTTCTCAAATATAAAAATCAGTCTATAATTGTTTTTCACTGTCAGAAGAGATTATTATACTAGTTATGATCTCATTCAGAGGTATCAAATTAATCTCTATTTATGACGATCAGTGAATCTCGTTTCAATCGATCTCTTAGTAAAAAAAACTGATTGTCTAAAACGTTCGATAATTATTTCTAATAGAAGTACAAAAAAAGAAATAGAGTATATCAGCAAATGTTAGTTCTGTTTCTGATTTTAACTGTACTCGGTTTCATTCTAATGTCGAACAGTGAAAAAACGAATTATATCATTATGAAAATAAAATATTTTTTTATTGATTATTAATAGCATCCGATGTTGAATATGATGGTCCACAAAATTGGTCATGGCGTTTCGAATGGTCTCAATTGACATCAGATATTCGAATGCGATTAAAAAGATTAACACATATGTATGGGCGTGATGTAAAATATGATAAAGCCATTCCATCAGAAGATATGCCTATGAAAAATGATGCGAGATGTACTCTACAATAAACTCATAGATTTTCATAATTACATTTTTAAATTCATTATTGTGTTTTTGTTTCATTTCATTTTTACACTAGCAGATGATTCTATTTTTTGTTGGCTTTTTTTTCTCCTTCTTCGAAATTATTATTTTAATTCTTTTTGTCGAATAGGAACTTTTAATAAATATATTCTGAGAAAAACAAATTTAGTTTTATAGAATTTATAATCAAAAATTAATATCAAAATTTGTAGAAAATAAACTACTTAACTACGTACTATTCACCATTCAAAGAGAACATGGAGGTATGGTTTTTCTCTATGTCTCGTGAACCTACACTCGCGCCCATTCATGAACTAATTTTATTATTGTGATATTAGTTGAAGAATCGTCAAGTAAAGGACAAATAACTTTTTGTTATTACTTCTTTCATAGAAATTTATAGTTATAGATCGTGAGATATTCAATTCCAATGAATAATTAACTATTGTCGGCGCCAGAATTAAATAGGGATGGGTGTAGAACGAATATCTCGAGACCGGCAGTAGGTAGCGACCTGTAGCTTTTACCAGGCCCGTAGCCAGAAATTTTCTGAGCGGGGGGGGCTGAACTTATTTCTCATCGTAGGTACTATGATATAGTGAGCGGAGAAAACACGCATATAATTCACAAGAACTGTCCTAGTGGACTTTGCCCATCCTACATCATAGATGATACCACTTGTACCATGTTTTTATGGAACAATTCAAAAGAAAACTTTCCACAGATAAGGTTTACTTTATTTCACAAAAAAGAAATTATCTGATATTTGACAGTAAGCAAAAACAAAAATAAATAGAATATATGTTCTCTTGCTCTTGCTATGGTTGATTTTCCTCCTGAATGAATGATGCAACTGATGGACAGATATTAACTGGTGGCGGGTCGTTTGTGATGATGGATTCAGTATTGATGACTTCAGCATTTTTGTTCATATCTTGTAATCGTTAACGTTTCTCAACGCGTGCAAAAAAATCAGGGAAAAGATTTCTTTTTTTTTTCTCACTCATTTTCACAATGAACAGTACTGAGCAGTTTAAGGACACTATCAATATTTATATATATATAGGGTGTCCTGAAAGTCATTGACCGAAAGTTTTTTCGTGTATCTTTACTATTTCATTTAACTTTATCAATAAATTTTTTTAAATTATAGGTGAATATACCAAGTTTTTATTTATCCGAACGATCTTCCATATTATTGTGCAAAACTATCACCTTGGATCAAGATACAAAAATTTAGCTTTCTTTGTAAGAAGCGAGTAATTCAACAATCGACTGAGGTTCTTTCTTTGATATTTTCACATGGTTAGATTGAGCTTGTCGAGTTCTACAAGAATATGTATATTGAAAAGTTTTAAGCCTTTTTTTTGAAGCAAAATTTGCAGAAAACTACTACAGAAAGTCGAAATAATTAAAGAAAAAAAACGCTACATAATGTTTTTCTGGAAATAAAAAGAGAGTAAAATTTTTGTATCTTGATCCGAGATGATAGTTTTGCACAATAATATGGAAAATCGTTCGGATAAATAAAAACTCGGTATATTCACCTATAATTTAAAAGAAATTTTATTGATAAAGTTAAATAAAATAGTAATGATACACGAAAAAACTTTTGGTCAATGACTTTCAGGACACCCTGTATACACTCGGGGACAATTGAATTTATACCCTTTGATCTTTTTGTTTTTTATTACTATACGGTTTTATCTATTAACTTACTATATATAGGGAGAAAGCCCAGAAGCCGCTGCATCTTTTGGTATATTTACGTTGAACATCAAATGCAGTTTAAAGTATAAAAAGTGTATTAGAAGAAAAAGAACATTATTTTTATTGCCAAAACTGGGTATCCATAATGTTGTCACATTTTTTTATTTCGCATATATCTCGGCCTAGGAAAATGATAAAACCTTGAATCTTTTTTCAAAAGATGCGCCGTGAAAAGCTCTACAAAAGCCACATGATTGAATTCCTTTTTACCTGTTCTAATGGTTTTTCTTTTGCTCAAAATGAAAAATTTACAGGTCTAGTTTTACTTCCCATAATATAGAAAGTATTTCGAGAACTTTTTCGATTCGCTATATAGGATTCGGTCTATACAAGTTTTGTAGAGCTTTCGGCGGCACATATTTTAAAAACAAATTCAATATTCCATCATTTTCTCAAGACGACATATATGCAGAACAAAAAAGTCTTCCAACATTTTCAGTATGATGGGAAGTGACACTGCCATGTAAGTTGTTCATTTTGAGTATAAGAAAAACCATCAGAACAGATAAAATGGAATTCGATCACATAGCTTCTGTAGAACTTTTCACAGCGCATCTTTTAAAAAAAAATCAAGATTTTATCATTTTCCTAAGCCGAGATATATGCGAAATAAAAAGTGTTACAACATTATGGACATCATGGAATTTAAAAAAATGTCCTTTTTCTTCTAATACATTATTTATACTTTTAACTGCATTTGATGTTTAACGTAAATATACCAAAAGATGCAGCGAGTTCTGGGCTTTCTCCCTATATATAGTAAATTAATAGATAAAACCGTATAGTAATAAAAAACAAAAAGATCAAAGGGTATAAATTCAATTGTCCTCGAGTGTAATAATGGTTATAAATAACAATCACTTTCCATATATGGTAATGATCGTTTACCTTGAAGCCATTTATAAAATAATATGCTTATCAAGTTATACATACAATAAGTGCACGAATGAATAAACGAAATAAGCAAAGAAAAAAAGAAAAAGGCCTCATACATTTATATTTTTATTTCTTCTATATCGCACGACGATCGAATGTTTTCTAGATAGAAAAATGATGGCAACAAAATTAACTGATTTATTAGGAGAACAAATTCTTCAACATAATGAATCAAATCTAATATCAACAAATCAACTTGATGGAAGAACTGTGGCATTTTATTTCTCGTCTGTTTATTATATGTAAAAATTAAAAATAAATTAATAATTTTTTTTTCTTTTTTTATAGAGCTCATTGGCGTCCACCTTGTCAAAGCTTTACACCAAGATTAGCTAAAGCATTTAATGAAGCTAATGAAGAAATAAAAAAGAAATTAGATATTGTTTTTATTTCATTTGATCATAAACAAGAAGATTTTGATGAACATTTCAAAGAAATGCCATGGAAAGCATTACCTTTCACTGGTATGTCTAACTTATTTTTTTTTGTTTTTTAATTCGATTAATTATCATTAAAGAACATCATTATGAAAAATTTACTAATATAACTTTTTTATATAAACATAATTGAATTTAGATCGTGATCGTCCGACAATGTTAGGTGAAATATTTAAAGTGGGTAGTATTCCATGTTTGGTAGTTTTATCTCCATCGATTGAAGTAATAACTTTTGAAGGTGTTGATGAAATAGATGGTGATCCAAATAAAGCTTTACTTAAATGGTCTCAAGGAAAAGGTTTATTTTGGACTCGTGAAGCACGAGGCAATGAATATACATGGGAAGATGCTAATTGTACTGAATGTTTTATGAAACCTATAGTTGGTTCACGATATGGTTGTCCAAATCCTGAATGTTCATATGATTTATGTGAAACATGTTTATTTTCTGATAAACATGAACATCCTCTCGTTGAATATCTTATACCAAATCGAAAATATTCATTAGAAACACTTTTATCACACATACCTTATTTACTTGATCATAAAAAAACAGAAGAAAAAATTGAAACAAAAACAATGTTAAAAAAAGATATTAAAAGTATTGGATTTTATTTTTCAGCTCATTGGTGTACACCTTGTCGTACATTTACACGAGAATTAATTGAAATTTATAAAACAGCAGAAAAAAATTCTCATCCATTTCATATTATATTTATATCATGTGATAGAGATCAAGAATCATTCAATAATTATCGATCAGAAATGCCTTGGTCTGCAGCTCCAATGAATTCAGGTTCAGTTCTTATGAGATATTTCCAATTTTCTGGTAAGAATTATTTTTTGTTTTTTTTATCAACTTATAATTGTTTTTTCAAGTAAAAGGTATTCCATCATTAATTGTTGTATCATCCGATGGAACAATTTTATCACGTCATGGTCGTGATCATGTTACAAAATTTGGTGTTAAAGCTCTAGAAACATGGTCACAAGGTGAAAAATTACCTCATCCTCCACCAGATGAATATATATGGTCATATGTAAAATGTGATGGATGTAATATGGCTCCTCTTATTGGTCAAAGATATATTTGTCCTACCTGTGGCAATTATGAACTTTGTTCAGCATGTGAAAAGAAAGGACATGAACATCCACTTGTACTTCAACCTCAACCAGACGATTGATGACAACGAACAAAATAGTGAAAAAAAACCTGTTCAACATTATAGACAATTTTTCTTCACGGAATTCATCTTATTTATTCAAGAAATTAAATTAACCCATGTTTTTGAAAAAGTTCACCCCAAAAAAAAAATATTTTATGAGAAAATAAACAAAAATAAAAATCTAATCTGGTATATATTATTATTCAGAAGGCCATTACACTGAGACATTCTAAATCTATAGATGATGAAAATTACTATGAAATTGGCAAAAAAAGAAAAGAAATCTATACTAATTTTATAAATGTCTTAAATTTTTATTCTACAAAAGATTAATTCCATAAGGTTATCTTATTTTCTGTTATAAAACCCCGACTACAGTAACATACTACGAAAGTAAAATGAATAACCAGAAATACGATCTCAATGATGTTTCTAATAGTTAATATTGAAAAATTTTTTTCGATGAATTTATTCCTTTAATATTTATGAATTTAGTTGGTCTTAGATAATTAAAAGTAGACCGAACAGAAAAAATAATTTTTTTTCCGACGATTTTATTTTAATGAATGCATGATAATGTAACAATCATAGATAGTGCGTTTTATTAATGGTTATTTTCATTTTCTCAAAACATGAAAATCATAACTAATCTTTTAGAGTTCTAGAATTCAGCACTATTACTAAACTGTTTTAAATTGTAGAACTTTTCATGCGTACATATAGTAAAAAAACTCACCAAAGGACTACCTAAATACTGTGCTTCTCATCGCACTAAATACAAGACAAAGCTAGGCGCTACTCTCTTCTTTCTCATATGTTAAACAGCTGATGATAGATAATTAATCAATCGATCGAAATCTTCTCTCAGCAGAGTTTCAATGACATTCATAGAATTCTCGAAGTAATGAATTTTATTACGGTACCTTTGAATTTTTTCATCACTTATCCATGTAAGCATTAAAAAATTGTCTCTTTTTATAAGAATAATTTCGAAAATGGAAGTTCAGAAAATGTGATATGCAAGTATCGAGATCGAACAAGTACTTTTTGTATCGATATTCATTTGCTAATGAACAGCTTTACCAAAATGACAAGTGTATGGCACAATTTCCATCTTTTCGTTTTGAGATAATTAAAATATAAAATATAAAACAAAAAATTCTCAGATTCAAACAGTTGTGAATACAGATGACAGTAAATAATGAATGATGAACATAATTAATCGATCACTATACACATCGGTTTCTAGAAGTCTATCGATAGGCTTTGGTTGAGTTTCCAATATGATTAGAAAAAAATGAATAAATATTGACATTTTTATTTTTCAACGTATCCATCATGATGATGATGATGATGATGATGACAAGGAACAGAAATGAAGATAAGTGACGTATGATAAAGTGAACGAATTTACAAATTTCATTTTAATACATACTTCTAAGAAAAAAAAAATATACAGTTGAAAACAGTGATTTCAATTTTGCTAAATTTCATCAACTAAGACTTTCAAATATAGATTTTAATTCCTCCAGTCTCTTTAACATTGTGGATGTTGATGATCGCAAGATCTTTATTTTATAGACACATTGTACTTGCATCTTAAAGTGTGTAGTAATACTAATGAGAAATTATAATAATATATAGAAGTATGAACTTAATAGTGACAAGATAATTATTAATATGTTCTGTTGAGTTTATACTTTCTATTATTAATAACTCTTCAAAAATATACAGACCCTACATCTTTATCTTAAAATATAACAAGAATAAAAATCCAAATAAAAATGGGGTCGAAACTTATGAAACACCCTTGATTACAATCAACAGATATGAAATGTACATTTTGGCGAACTTTTTTTTGTTTTTTTTCTCATTATTGATGAATAATAAAAAGGTGTGGGTGTGCGTTTGGACGTGAGTGTGCGCGTGTATGTCGTAGCGTGTTATTAAGAGAAAAGAAATAGCCACTCCTCAGAGCCACACCCACACCCACCGTAAGACCCCATGCTAGTCGAAGGATAGATTTGATAAGCCGATGATATCATAAGATCTCGCTCTGATTCAACGAAGCTAATTATAAATCCGCGCCACCAAGAGGACAAAGATTACTAGTGAAATTTATTTGAAAAGCGAATTTCAATGTAAAGTCGTTATAAATCGACAAGAAAAAGTAAGAATTCATTTTCACTTTTGTATATTTGTATACTGTTTCATCGATCTTGCTCTTCTATTTGTCAAAATACTTCAATCGAAAGAATTCCAATTTTCATTTGATAATTTTAGTTGAGCTTTGTGGCGGCAAGAGAGAAAGAGTAAGAGGATGGAAAACAAAAGTGACAAGCCAGCACATATGAGAAAAATGAGACCGATAAGAGCACTCGGCTTTTCCCATTGAACAACGGACAGATGAGTGGTGTCATACCAGCATGCATATGACTTGTCAACCTATAGAAACAATCAAATAAAGAACTGTTATGCTGTATTCACATAATCGAATCGCAACTTTCTCGATAATCTAACACATTTCTATTTACATATTGGTAGATCCGCTATTTTGAATATGTTTTGGTTTTTAGGAACGAAGAAATCATCCTCAGGAGGCGAAATATACTTATTGTCTGCGGTAATGTTTGTCTAACTGGAAGTATATCATATTTTTGTGATCCTCGTTAAATGCCACACATCTTCGTACTATTGATGTGTCCATTTGGATGTCATATGAAATATAGATTTACAGAAAAAGTGGATCGTTCGGGTATTGTTCTTTTACCGGCTTTTACAATAAACATACCTCATATTGATTTGCTTTGTTGAGTGCATCTATATAATTTCGATATCGACGTGGTCCTCTGATGGTGGCAATAATGCGATCATCAGAATGCTTCGTTGTATTTTGACTTCGACTGTAAGACACACTCCAAACAGGAACATAACAAACATAGGTGACATAACGTGAATGACACCATTCTTGTTCATACGTGCGACGACTTACCAAACATGAACTTGATGCATATGTGAGCTCTTTGCTATGATCCTTGGCATACAAGATGCCACCGATCAGGCAAAAGGCAATCACACAAGGGATAAAGAGCAGACCAAAAAATAGTCCGGCCGCCAACCATGGATGTTTTCTGACATTCAATCTTTTCGATCTATGCAATGTCAGTGGTTGCTTCATTTACGTTGAAGGAGAGAGTTCGGTTTCAAATGTTGGTCTTTCGTCTATGTGTGAAAATGAATTACGAATAATGACGTTCTCATATCTATATGCCTTATCATCTGACTTTTTTTCTTGTCGTCATATTCTTAGGATATCTTTCACTTATTGACAGAGCATTTTTTGTCTTCGTACAGAATCAGATTAAAAGAAAAATGAGTTTAGTAGAAAGAAAACTCGAACGAAGACGGTAAGTTTCAATCAAATATTGACTATTTTTGCAAAAATCTTCATCTGGCTTTTCATCTGTATCAGCATCAGGATTTTAATCTTCGTTGGTATCTTCTTTTTTTGATGACTAATCTTGGTCGATATTGTTTGCAACGGGCCAGAAAAGCTGTTTTTCATATGCACCCGAGATTCTTGTGAACGTGCTCGATTTATCGTTTCAAGATGATGGAATTCTATCTCACGTTCAAGTTTGAAGGACTAGACAAAAACCATTGACGGACTACAATTCGACAATAGTTGATCGAATGTTTCTATACGAACTATGGGAAATGCGACATCAAATAAGATACTGGACAGTAGTAAACCATGGAGAAGATTAGGAACCCCAATGAATTTTTTTTATGGAGAATGCTCCTAACATTGCTCTAACGAACGGTGAAAACGGCATGTCAATAACTTGAAACGGCCCAAAGGAAGATAGATGGTTTCCGCTTAAATCAGTCCTATTTGAGATCCACTTCCTTCAACAATCTTTTGTTTCACAAAAATGCTCCTAGCTTCAATATTAGACTACTCTACTTCCCTCCAAGTCATTTCCAATACATTTTCTATTCAAATACATGGGTAAATTCATTAAAATTTTCACAATAAAATTATACTCTCAAAAGAACATATGACTCCTGTTATCTGAATCAAAGGACATTGAAAAAAAGTCATTTTCTCAGGGTAGATAGAACTCACGTAATGCTACAAAATGGTTAAAAAAATATGTCTGAAATTGTGCTGTGCTCAGTTTTTTTTCTATTGGCACACTATCAAAATTGCTGTAAGGATTACAGAAGTTAACCGCACTTGTCCATTAGAAGTGGGCTATAATCGATGGAGTCAATGTTATTTGTCGAAGACTAGGTGGAACTTCTTAAGTATGAGAAATCTGTGTAAATATGTGTGGGTGTTTCGTCTTCAGTTCACCCACATCGACACCAACCTCCGCACCCATCCCACACACAATCCATCGAAAGTACATTTTATAACTCCTATCTATCATCCTACAAGATGGTAAGTAAAATAAAATATTGTCTTGAATAATACATGTATTTGTTTTCAAGAGAAGTTTATCATGAATTATTGTTAAAAACTGTTCAATGGTCTAATAAAATGTCATTCGTAGAATGTTGTCAAAGATATTGTAGCACGTATTGATAACACTGACTTCTACTATTCAAAAACCCAGGATTTATTTTTTTTTGTGAATAGTTATCGTTTTTCGTTAGTATTGTTTTTCGATTTTGTTTTAGAAGTAGCTGAAGGATATGCAAAAAATCGAACTGAATTCAATCGTAAGGCATTGGAAATGGTCAAAAAACATGCATTATCACGAAATTAAATTGGCCGTTATTATATTATCTGATTCTTTGTTCTCATGAATAAATAACACAAAAAAATCCTTCTTAATAATTTAATTGAGTTTTTTTTAATTAATCTAAAGTCTTCAGGTTAATTTTTATATTTGATATTGTAAGGAGTACAGTTGATGAGATTAATGGTTGATTGGATTAGCAAGTTTTCCAATTTAGATAATTTTTTGAATAGTTTTACTCAAGTATGATCCATAAAAGGCGTCAAATAGTGATTTTGATAGCTATCAGAATGGGCTGCAAAGCTGAAATATTAATGCTCTCTTAAACTCAGTTATTCCATGAGTCATTTTGCTGTAGCAGACTAAATTTTAAGGCAAATTTTTATATTTTATTAGTTTTTCCTTGTTCAATAATCATTAAACACTTGTTTTGTTTATCATTCGTTCTAAATAATATTAATTAGCAGTTATAGAAAAAATTTGTAAGATAATAATCAGGTTAGTAAATTTTACTATTAGATCGTCTTATTATTTGAGTACGGTTGAACTGTATAACGCCAGTTGAAAACTTGATATTTAGAATATTTAACAGAACGGAATAAGACCTTAACTGTCATCTGTGCAACGCGATCCATAGTATGGGTGTGTGTATGGATTTGGGTTAACAAATAAAAAGCGACACCCACATCCTATTCATATATTACAGTGACTTATAATCTGTTAATTTTCAATGAATTCTAACGCCAGAAATACGTTGCATTACCATGCCACTGTATCCGTTAATTTTTTTACGGCAAAATAATGCATTATAGTGTTCATTATTTCAAAAATCAGTTACATGAATGATTATGTTGCTATTTTTATAATTTAGGAAGAGATCATTTAAAATGCAAATAAATACAAAAAAGAAAGTAATGATTTTTCTATTGAATGACATTCAACTTTGTATTTCATATTGAAGAGGAATATAATTAGCTATTTGTCCTTAGAAAAGACTTTAACTTATTTTTACAATGATGCATCTGATCTACGTATTTTTTTGACATTTGTCTAGATGTTGACTAAACAAAACAAGTTAAATTATGATTTATATTTGAAGAAAATATCTTTTTTAATCATATTTCAATAAACTAAAAATTTAATTAATCTCTTTCATAATATAATCCCTCATGCTAAGACATGTCGATATCATATATTATATAGAATATCAAAGGAAATTAATCATAAAATGTCGTATTGGATGTATTTCAATTTAGGTTTAAAAAAAAAGGTCAAACGTTTTCATAATTATTGCAATTATATCAATAATAGTTACATTTTTCTAAAAGTAAAATCATATAAATATTTCTCAAATTCTCAAATTTAAAGCAAGTTCAATGTTCAGATATTTTACTCAGAAAAAAACTAAGTTATTTTTCATTGAATGGTAGAGAATGTCGGTGTTAAATTATGACTGTTCCTGATAGAATTATTTTCTAGACAACTTATCTGTTTTTGACAAACCTATGCACTTCTATTAGACATCAAAATATATTCTAATGAAGAATCTGGTGGAAAAGACAGAGAAAAATGAGTAGGTGCGATAGTGCTTGAGTAACTCGATTCTAGAAAAAGAGAGAAAATATAAAAAGCCGATTAGCATCCATTTTAATTTAGAAAAGATATAGAAAGTAAACTATGTCCGTTCTTCAAGCAGTCATTCAGTTATCTTTTTGGGGGCCAATTATACTCTTTACTATTGGAGTTCCATCAGTTATTTTAAATGCGATTATTTTTATTGGAGTGAAAACATTTCGACAATCTCCTAGTTCTTATTATATTGTTACTCAATCATTATTTGATTTTGGTTCCTTATTACTAGTTTTTCTTCAAATTTTTCCATCAACATCAATAAATAGATCTTCAATATCGTGCAAATTGACTATTTTTTTTAGTCGAATAGTAGCACCATGTGCACTAAGTTTTCTTGGTTTGGCTGCATTTGATCGTTGGGCATGTACATCAAGATCAGCAAGAATACGGCAATTAAGTGCAATTCGTACAGCTCATTGTATTGTTTCAATTACTGTTATATTCTGGTCATTGGTGAGCATACCTTATCTTATTTTTTACGATTTAATTCCACCTACCTATACTTGTGGATTCACTAATGATCTTTTTCAAAAAATTACCAATTTTTTTCTGGCTCCTATATTAGGTGCTATTTTTCCTCTTATCATTTTAATTATATTTGGTATTCTTACATATCGAAATCTTCATCTTATGACGACTATTAATGATCAACAACAATCTATTCCAACTCGTTTATCAATGTGGGAACGACAAATAACAAGAATGATGATTATTCAAACAGTGTTAAATGTATCATGTACACTTCCTCATTGTATCTTCCTGATTTATACAATAGCGACAGTTCAACAAATAGCAATGAAAAGTTTAAATCAAATTTATATTGAATATCTATTGGCTCAATTGTGTGCATATATAGTCTCTCTCGATTTTGCTTCATCATTTTATATATATTTTCTTTCTTCATCACGTTTTCGACAAACAACCAAAATGTATCTAAAACGTCTTTTACATTTGGGAAATAATCAAGTTACTCCTTTCAACATTTCTGCTTCAACAGTACCAGTTACTGGTACAAAAACTCATAACAGACAAAATCGAATGGTCTATTTAAACTAAACAAGTTGAATATTTACTGACAAAATTCGATTTAGACAATTTTATTTAATATTGTATGACCCTGACCCTCAATTTTTAATTGAAATATTTCTTCATATATCAGTGTCCTTGTAATAAAGAAGATTCTTTATTGTCATTCTGTTGTGGAAAGTTTAAATGTACTGTTGATAAGAACGTCTCAAACAAATGTTTGCAAATGACAATAAAAGATTAAATGTCTTAAAGGTTTAAGTACCACAACAAAATTGAAGCCAATAGGAAAAAAAAACAATTGACAATATTTTTAAAAATCTTTCTAAATTTTGTTATTTATAAAAACAAAAGATTTATCAATGTTCCTTAACATATTTTATTGTCTTCTTTTTTAAATGAAAATTCTCAAAACATAAATCCAACGAAAAAGAATAAAGTAGCAAAATATCTTTATAAAATCTTCTTTTTGATATTAACTAGAGTAAGTTGTAGAATACTTTTGTTTTCTATATTGGATATTTAATCTTGATGAAGTATTTCATTTTGACGGACAACACTTAACTACGATAAAGAACTCTTCAATGATCAACATAAATTCTTATTAACTTTTTTCATTGTTTGTTCAGATAAGAATTATTTTATTTTTCACAAATAGAACTTTAAGAAAAATTACACAATTAAACAAATGTTTATGCAATAAAATTCAGATTAGAAAATTAATTTTTATCCATAATCACATCATTCTAAATACTTGGTTTATTAAATATATAAAAAACAATCTATTAAATGTACTATTCATTTTATATATAATATCTCTAATAATAATCTTTAAAGAACAGATTACATATTTAGAGATCTCAAATTATTCAATGATGTTTTATTATTATTTCAAAGAAATATTTGATCTTTTTTTGACAGATTTCAACGCTACATTAATCAAATTCTTTAAATACAGAATTAATTTTTGAAAAAAAGTTCAAAAATGAACATAAGAAATTTTCATAAACTGATGCATCAATATAATAATAATTCTTTAGTATAATCTCTAAAAGTCATAAAACAAGTTTGTTTAGAATGAATTTCATTTCTTTTTCTTATTTAACAAAAATAAATACCGTTTTTTTTTTTTCTTTCTTATTTTATTCATAAGCATATTTGAAATAATCATAACGTCATAGAATATTTTAGATCAATTTAGTTAGAATATACTAAACAAATTAACTAAATAATTCTACTATTTACTAAAAAATCTATTTTTATTCGAGAAAATTCCTATTATTAATAATATTGATTGTAAATATGATGGATGAAAAAACAAGTAATATATAAATTATCGTTTAATTTTACTTTTAGAAAGTCATTAATCAACATTATGGAAATATTTTTAATTTGATTTTTATTTATCATTAAATGAAAAATTAACTTCAAATTATTTATGAAATATTTATGTATAGAAAAAAAAAGACGAAAATCAACTGATACATAATATATAAAGGAAATACAAAAAAGTGTTTGTCCAATGTAAGAAGAAGATTGAATTAATTGTCAATCAAATGTTTATAAAATGATTTAATATTATAAATGAGTAAATTTTTCAGCTGCTAGTTCCTCTGGATCTTGCAATTGTGCAATACTGAAAAAATAAAAATAAAAATATTTATCTACTTTTCAATGAATATAAATCAACAAATTCAAGGCTAGTGCATTTGTTGCTGTGGGTGGGATGGGTGAGGGTGTGTTGACCTGGAATTGTGGGACATTTGTGTGAATGGAGAGAACTGCACCTCCTCTGCATCCACACCCACACCCATATCAATTAAAAATGGAGATACTGGATCATAAGGATCACCGAACCAAGGTCCTGAACTAACAGAAAGACCCAGAAAACGTTCTCGTCTTAGATATTTGTCTTCCCTCTTACGTTCTACTCCCCGTATAGGTCTTCCTTTGTGACGATCAATGTTAGGTATTTGATAATTGCGATCAAAAACAATATGATTATTATCCAACTTGACTTGTGGTGAATTTCTTTTATATACGTCTTCCATGAGTAAATTTTTTACACCGGAATAATGACGCCATTCCAGTGATTCAGATTTTGACCATGGGTTCAGATTTGATTGCCAAATGCACACAACACATTCTAACGAATTATTTGATGTTGGAGGTATACAGATGGCCATAATAATTATTTTCTTTGTAATGGTTTTCTAGAATTGAAATATTACAACAATGAGTGATTTTATGGTCCACAACAATAAAAACCTTCTAGTGAAATAGCTTCTAGAAAAGTTTATTTGGTCAATACTTTTACGAAATAAAAACAATCTTCATATGATATTAAAACATAAAAATATGATTTTGAATTATTCTCAAACCGAAGAAAATTATGTGAAACCTCAGCAATCCGTATCAATGACGATATTAACTCTGTTTTTATCGTTTTTCCTAGTTGAAGAATATTTTCAAGCCAATTTGTGGATTTTCTCTAGGGTTACCACGTGTTCATCTATGAGTCAGTGAAAAATTTTTTAAAAATATGACATCAAAATGATAAATTGAACATAGAATTGATGTACTTCAAATACATCGTTCAAAATAAACATTTACATGGAAGCATGACTTTTCTTGAATGAGTTTGAAAAAATCAATAAATGTTTTCGTTCGTTTCATGAACGAAAATATCTTGTTCTTCTCGTGTTTTTTACTCATTTAGATATTAAATATTTAGCACAAAAGAGAATCTGTTATTATTCAACAAATCATGATTCGTGAGATATATAATTACTACGTCAGTCATCACAAATATTAATCGATCTGTTAACTCATCGGAAGAACGTCAAACATTTGTACTATGAAAGAGTGTGCTGTTAATTTCGATTGGTTGATAACTGCGTATCTGTCAGCTTTTCTATGTTTTGTTGATACAGAAAAAAAAAACTCGTAAATCTGATTTTAAGAATTTGTTTAGAACAAGTCGATATCGAGAAATACCTGAGGACGAAAACAATCACTAATGGGTTTGATAACAACAATACTGATGCTAATATGAGAAGAAAATAAAGCGTAGAAAAGGCACAATAGATACGTGTGAATCCAAGAATGATGTTCATCTATACCATAAAACTATTAAGAATCCTAAAAGGTAGCAACTATATAGTTTTTCAGATATTTTCGACGACCTCTCTGCTCTTTTTACTTCCTGAGATAAGGAAATTTTATTTCTCTCAGACAGATTAAAATGAAGCTAATTCGAAAAAATCTCATGGGAATACATAAAATGATAAAAAAGTGTCATTCAGATTTTATGTTCATTGCTCTTTTGTTGAATTTAAAACTTTTCTCATTTTTGTTTCTATGTAGCGTCTAATAAAATAAATCGATAGAAAGAAATTCTTTTGTATCGCTCAATGTCATCAACGAAACATACAATATTTCACTAAACAGTTCTTTTATTTCTCCATCTATAATATTAGATGAAGTCGTGAGTATGATTAAACAAGTGATTTTGGAAGAAAGAAAAGTCGATTAAAAATATGCGATGTTCGATATCTTCAAAATAAACCCAAGTAGACAAAAAAATAAAGAAACTTGTTTGTATAAACATAACATTTGAACTGTGTCTAGCTGGTGATCGTGATTCCCGATTGTCAGTCAGTAACGGGCAACATCAATCGACGTGAAAACGATTATTTTTCCAGGTTAATTGAAATTTTGATGTGGATGTGGGGTGTAAGTGTATATTAATAAAATACTAACGCCCACGCCTACACCCAAAAAAAAACACTTACTATGTATAACAATATAATAAACGATGAAGAAAATCAAACTCGACTAAAAAAACAAATTAGATAAATAAACATGAAACGCGTCGGCGAAATTAAACTCTGCATATCAAAATAATTATTCTTTTATTTTCGACTTAGTCGATTGCTGAGAAGCAAGAGTTGAGATTAGCAGATTGAACTTGTCTTTTTGTTATGATATAGGTCGGTCTGTTTCGATTTGATGAGTCCCTATAGCAAGGACAAAATGATCATCGTAAGCAGCTTAGAATATTCTTATGAACACACCTCACCCCCAATATAGCAATCGAACGAACTATTGTGTCATTCAAAGGAATTTCATTTAATGCGAGAAAAAGTCGCCAAATAGCCAAATGGGTGATTCTTGTTGTTTGTTCTGTTACACTATTGATACATATACGTGATCCGATTCATCATCATCTATTGGATGATACCGAAGAACAACGAATATGGTGTATGATTAGATATGATAATTTCTATCAAATTTTGAATTCGATCGTACTTATGTTTCATTTTATTGTGCCATTTACTATTAATTTGATATCGGCTCTGATCATTATTATGATTGTTACTCGACAAGAAGCAATTGTTCATAGAGACAAATGATACAAGCAACATATTTTTGAACGACTTTGTCGATATCAACATACATTATTTTTCCTTGTATTCCTGTTATGCGCGCTATATCTCTTTGTTTTTATCATTTTTATCGGGTTGCAAGGATTCATCTCGTGAGCCATCGTTTTTCTTTGCTACATATATTATTTCGTTCATGGCAGCAATTTTGAACTTTGTCACATTTATCTTACCATCAAAAATCTATAAGCAGGAGCGCAAAAAAGCCCTTCCACATATTCGTGAACAATTATCTTCTCATCACTGGCGATAGATTGATTCGATTTTGTTTTGCTTAAACTCTGAAGTACTTGTGAAAGGTTTTGATTAATTAGTTTTCATCGTATATTCTTGCTTTTATTTTTGAACCAAGACAATTACAAAGTAAACCGAGAGAAAAAGAATACATCTCTGATCTGCCCTCTAGTCCGTGATATATTTCTCCAAGACTGTTGATTTTAGCCAATCCAATGCATTACATATTTTAAGCCTACAGGGATTGCATCGAAATGTTTCTTCATTAAAACTGCAAAGATACGCCTTGTATCAAATTCGTTTATCTGCATAGATATTGGAGATTTTCTGAATAAAAACATTTCAAATCCAACCAAATCTTTGTGGCAGTTATTACCAACTGTACACGCTCTACTCCTAAGGGTATGGGTGTGGGCTGATCAGAACAGAGCGTTTACATTCATACTCGACACCCACACCCATATATATAGAATTTGCATTACTATCGGTCAATTTTTATGAAAAGGTTTTCGTGTTTGAAAACGCATTGTATCGAAGTTGATTGTGTCATTCATCAAATAGCCAGAATTTGAGGGTCAAGATGAGAATATGTGAATCGACCAAACAAGACATTATTTATTGTAGTTCGAGTTACGGATGCTCACTATTCTTGAGTAAGCAGCTTTGTAGTAGTGAATGTTTCATCGATTCGTTTGCAAACGTTAAGTCAATTATTTGAATATTATTTGTAGCAAGTACTATTGATGATGAACGATTTTCGACATAGCTCTATTTCAATCATACTCTCACATATATATTTTATTGAACAAGAAACATACAAAGTTTGGGTCAAGCAACTCGAGTTGGATGTGAATCTTCGACAAGTTGAATTCGGCTTATGAAGAAAATCGTTGTGGGTCAATCTGGATAGTCCGTTTGAAACCTGAGATATACTACAAACAACAATAGTGCATTTTGGTATGAGCTTGTATCATAGAAACAGCTATTGTCGAGAGATTATTGTATTTGTGGAAGAACACTATTATTGATTAAAGAAAAGAAGACAAAGAAAAATATCATAATGCAACTTTTTAACGAACACTATGGATTGAAATTAATCAAAGGCAAAATTAATCATGGCAATATATGAGCAAACTCCTCTAAATCGGAGAAGAAGGTGATAAAAAGATATAAAATAATACTTCCTAAACTTATTCACTAAACTTTATGGCATTTACTTCACTCGAGATCTTCTGTAATACTAGAATTTTGATATTCTCACGGTACAATGTGACGTTAACTGTAAATTAAGAATTCATTTTCAAAGATAAGTAAGTACATCCATTTATGTGTCAAATTAAAAATTGGATTCACGCTCTTCTAAACACTTAATAAAAGCGTTCATAAATGTCCAACTGTTCAGAGTCACTTATATTTTCCATCACAATTATATTCATTATCAAAATAGAGAGAAATAAATCGTTTGTTGACATAACATACATTTTTTTGAGATACACCAACTAAATGATCTTTTCTATTGATACGCTTCATCCTTTTAATAAGACGACGGCTGTGATGAAGGATAATATTTGAAAATTAGAAAAATAGTGCCAAACTTCAAAAATTGTTTATCCCTTTATATATTTCAAATAATTAATATAGTTCTACACTGCCCACGACCTCATAATTATATCCACCAGAAACTAACACTTTTCCATTTGCTAATATGGATACTGTACGGAAGTCTCGCGAAGAATTCATGTTACCAGTAATTGTTTAAGTTCCAGTTGATGGATCATACAACTCAATGCTATTAAGACGGCCACTCTTACTGAGCCCACCAGTAACTAGGACTTCCCCATTTGTTAATACGGTTAAGGTATGCAGATTCCGCGTATAATACATCTCGCTGGTAGTTGCCCATCCTAGGTAGATGAATATATTTGATTCGAAAGTAACACTTATCAAGAGTCAGAATAGTTAATCCGAAGCATACGTGACTGCTGCGTTGTGGTGGTAGTTGCAGTGATCGTCGCTATTCATTAAAAGAAAACATTTACGTAAACAAAACATACTGGCCAAACTTGAAAGTCGTTATAAATATTCAATTCCAGTATTCAACCTTTCACATTTCAACGGACTTCTCATCTACGCGGATGACGAGAGGGTAAATAGAGAAAAGTTGAAGTCTCGAATCGAATTATTCACGAATTCTTCATATTATACTGAGCCAAACCTGTGACACTAAAATGGAAGATCACTACATGTTAAAATGATGAAAAGTAAAAATTGATGCCATTTACTGAAGAAGAACAAAAGCCAAAATAACGAATTATACTTCTGACCATAGTTTGTGTTGGAATGAAGCAGTATCGTATGTGTCTTTTTAATTTTTTTCAAACAGATGGTATTTTAATCTGCATTGCCACAAATGCTGATGCAAAGAAATATAATTTTCTTGTATTAAACGCTGTGATGAATATATTGTGTACGCCTGACTCATGGTATTCCTTATCATTCTGATGAATCATATGTTTGCCCTTGATTCTTGAATTAGATCCATAATGATAAACGAGTGATGCGAGTTACAATGGCTTCTAGAATAAATACTTAAGAGTGCACGTTGACAGTTTTCTTTCATTTTATACTTTTTTTCAGTCATAAAATTAGATAAAAACACAATGATGTGAATACATTTTCATGAATGCTTTTCTTATTATAGAGTAAAATTCCCCAATATTTTTGAAACTTTGAGCTTTTATCTCCAGTCAACCTTCAAATATGTAATTGTATCACAAGAAGAATACTCTCACACTCATTTTCATTATCATGGAAGTGTCCTCTTTCAACATATTGCGAACAAGTGTATTCCGTTAGGAACAGATCTCATACCATATGATGGGTATGGATGTGCTCTTCTTCCAATGCTGACAACGACACCCACACATCCTAAAATTCAACAAATGGCTAGTCTTTATTTTGATATTGTCATGTCATTGTTGTTACTGTTGAAAAAAAATAAAGAAAAAACACATTCATATAGGGTGTGAGTGTGAGGTGTTGGTGTGTGTGGGTATGAGTGGTTGTAGTGTGACACTCACACCAAAACCTTCACTGTATTTCATATTCGTATGGAAGAAAAAATGATTGATGAACTCGTTTGTCTTGCAATTACAACTTCGATTTATTGTTGAAATATTGAGCAATTTATTTTCAATCTTTATTGAGAAATGAGCCATGGTGACAGGGATGGTGAAAAGTAGCGGAAAGGAATTTTTTTCTTATATGTGCTAAGGATCAAATCTATTATGAACGAGATATGCGGAGTTTATTGTTCGACGTCTTTTTGTGTATTTGTAAGGATCACCAATCCACGGTTAGGTTTTCATTAGTTTTCAGGATTTTCTTCGTTTCTTCAATTGCTTGTGCACTGATTGCATTGCTATACAGTTTCATAGTCACGAGTGTCTATATGATATGTCGAAGAGATTCATTGTAGAGCTGATGAGAAGAGGAATGTATTACCTTGTTGTTTTGCAAACCTTTAGCTATATGTTTTGCTCCTTCATCACCAATTCCATTGGAGCCAAGATCTATTGTGGTAAGGGTCTACATATAGAATAACAAATCGACTTGTCTTATCGCGATTTATAAAGATTGAACTTCACCTCATTTTTTGCCAATCCCTGAGCGAGATACTGTGCTCCCTGATCTCCAATGCTATTTCCACACAGATTTAGTTCGACGAGTGTCTATTTGTGAAGTCAACAGCTATGCGATAAACATGAAAGGTGAAAGTATTACTGCATTTTTTTCCAAAAGTTGAGAGAGATATTTTGCGCCTTCTTCACTGATCTCATTGTAATGTAGATACAGAGACGTTAGGGTCTGTGAGAGATTTAAAAGAAGCAAATTATCAATTTTAAGTGAGAAAATCAATATTACGCTATTATTTTTCAAAGCATCAGTGAGATATTGTACTCCTTGATCATTGATCATGTTGGCTTGAAGATTCAGTAATTCGAGTTTCTATGTGTGAAATGAAGACGTATATTATTGAAATTGAGAGTGGATGAATGCTATACCTGGTTCTTTTTCAAAGCTTCTGCGAAATATTTTGCTCCTTGATCTCCGATTCTACCCGAATCGAGACGCAACGTAGTAAGTGTCTATGAAACGTAAGTAAGTGTTAGACGAAGAAGATAAAAAGATGACGAATGCTACATTATTATGTTCCAATGCCTGAGCGAGATATTGTCCTCCTTCCTCGCCGATTTCGTTTACGTTGAGACTCAGTGTTTCGAGTGTCTTTAGATGAAGTAAAGAAATAAAGTGGATGATAAATTGAAATAATATGTTGCGCTTACCGTATTTGTTTCCAAAAGTTCACCAAGATATCGTGCTCCTTGTCCACTGATTTTATTCCAGTCAAGGGTTAAACGAACTACTTTCTTCAGTCAGCAAAGACAATCGATGTGACAAAGATGTTAGGAAGAAATATTACCTCATTATTTTTCAAAGCTTCAGCGATATATTGCACTCCTTGATCGCCAATCTGATTCGCGGAAAGGGTGACGGACTCAATATCCTGTATGCAATACGAAGACGAAATGGATATCTTGTAATTGTTAAGCAATCAGTTAAAAATTCATTGTAAAAATCACAATATGCGATAATTCAAACGCAGACATAAAGGAAATGTGACAGTTTCGTATTTCTGACAACCGTGCAGTTCGATTCTGAAACAGCCCGTCAAAGACTCAGCACTTAATCCTTAGTGGTCGAAACAGGTTTAATTTGTTCTTCACGCTAGGTTACTTTTTCGTGCCTGAGTCCATCAACAATCATAGAAAAAGTTTCGTCTCCTTTGTTTAAAACACATTACACTAGATAGAACGAACTGAGCTGATCAACAGTGCCATGCTCGTTCTAGAAATTTTATGCACGGTAATAAAATAAAAGCCATTTTCCAGGAGGTCAAAAAAGTCACTTTTTCCTCGCAGTTCGTACAAAATAAACTATAGTCTGTTGAAAAAAAAACTCCATTCGACTCAGAAATTTGTTTCTCTACGCAAATTCATATGAACCATTTCAAACCTTTGTTTCATACGATCGATAATCGCTGAATGCCACCCAACTTTAGTGGTCAGATTTTTGAACAACTTTTACTAGTCCTATGAAGTATTTTTATGAGTTTTGTCTCAATGAGATTTTTATCTTGGATACATAACGTGACATGCTCCTTCTCACGAAGCGATTTTTAATTCAAAAGTTCGTATCTTAATTAGACTTTTAGCTGGAAAACCGTACTTTTCATACATCCACATGGAGTAAACGAGACTGTATTCAAACGATTTGAAAAATGAAAGATAGTCGTGGTCATACTTCTTTCATTTTGTGGAACTCACTATGAAAGTAATGAGTGTAAGTTTGTATCCAAACTTTTCCTGCTTAACTCCCTGTAGAGACCCGCCTCCCCGTTTATAGACACTCCATCCACACATTTGAATATGCCTGTGGAAGTGCGAAAGAAATACTGAGAGAGATTCCTGCTTAGAGAAGAAGATCGTGTTCTGACGCGAAACAACACGAATTGCTCTTTCGACTCATGAAGTCGTTCGAATGGGTGGTCACGTGCCTCGACTCTCACTGGTATCGGCATGCGTGCGAACGATAAATCAAAAGAAACCAAAAGATGACTAACGAACAGAAATTGAGCAACAAAAGTGACTGACAGCGGAATACAACGATAGAAGGCGAAATAAGAGTGCCTAGACAATTGAAGAATGCATGACATGTCTGAAATATATAGCTAGATTGGAACGTGCTCGTTTTGGTCTTCTCTTGTTTTCTAAAGAGATGTTTTCATCCTTAAAATCTCCTCTAATCTGTTAGTTCATTGAATGTGAGTTCCACATTTTAGCCTGATATGCGGCTGCGCTGACAAGCTTCTTAGATACAGAACAAAGTTTTGCATATAGTCAAGCTATTCCAGTCTATTGAAAACTGATCGCAGATAGAATTTAGAGGCATACATACTTGGATAACCTGCACTAGATGAAAAACAATAATGTGGTCTATATATCTCGAAATTTGGCTTAGTCCGCAATTTCAAGTAGTCAGTGATGATCAGCGACCTTCGCTCTATAAAAACCGAACCGTTTCAATGGAAATCAGCAAAATTGCTTTATTCGACATGGTTGGATCTCTTCAAGGAGTGAACAGACTGAAAACGGGTTTCGAAAATTAATAAAAATTGTATATTTCCTTGGAGAATAGGGGTGGCTGATCATCGCTGACTATTTCGAAATTGATGTTCAAACCAAATTTCGAGAAATATAGACGACATTATTGTTTTTCACCTAGTGCAGGTCATCCAAGGATTTGTACCGCTAAATTCGATCTGTAGTCCGTTTGCAATAGGCTGAAATAACTAGTTTCACTATATGCAAAACTTTTTTCTCTATCTAAAACTGAAAGAAGTATGACCACAACCATCTTTCATTTTTATTGAAATCGTTTGGTAACGGTTTCGTTTACTCCATGCGGAGGCATGAAAAGTACGATTTTTGAGCTACAAGCCTAATTAAGACACGAAATTTTGAATTGAAAATCATCTCATTATATCTGGAATCATGCTGTTTTTTTTTTCTATTTTGTTCTTTCTTTACCCATCCTAGTGCATTCAGCCATACAAGGAGACCCATAAGTGGTTTTAAAGAAGAAAAATTGAAGATCTTCACTCTGCTTGAATCACTTAAGCGTACTTTTTCTCAGCAATAGAATAGACTTCGAAGTTTTCTCATAGGAAACTCGTGCGCAGACAGTAGTTTAAAGCACCACTATTCACGTCAATGAAAAAATACCGCCGTTTCTAATTTCTGAGAAAGTACTTTTTGGAGTAGATCATCACTAGATCTATAGTTTTTTAGGCCATATTTTGCTTCGTAGTTTGGAATCATGAAGCTAAAAAAAATCTTGCAAAGGGTTTGCTCTGAGCGATTGGGGGAGAATATTGTGCCGCGATACAATTTTTGCTCACGAATGGCATAAAATCTATCTTTTACGTTTTCTACATCAAAAGGCAGCTCGAGATATTCATGAAAATGAAAACTGTTTCACATATTGGACTTCAAAGGAAATAATCCCTAACATCGATTTTGTTTACAAAGCGCCGAATAAGCGTGATCGTTTTTCTGCATAGTCTTCAAAGTTACTAAATAGCCTGCCTTGCCAAAAAACGGAGTACAGAACGTACTTTTATATTGCACTATTGTCTTGAAAGCTATCTCAGTATTCTTGAAGATAAGTTTGGTCGAAAATTCCCATTTTAGGAAAAAAGGTAATTTTCGATGGGCTCTTCTGGGCAAATACGAATATCTACAGAGCTGAAAAGTTTCATGAACACATATCTCTGTTACTTCTATGTGTGGTGAAAATGTCAGCTCTCTATCTATTTCTGGTGACGAGCTACAAAATACCGAATATGCGAAAAAATCGCAGTTTTTGCTTTTTTCACAGGATGAGAACGACTGGTCCGTTCATGCTCAATGTTTTACTGTACACATCGCTAACTAGTACGAGTAAGCCAAAATAATTTCAGCATAACAGGTCAATATGTTCTAAAGATATTGAGTCTACAAAATTCTCACTCCACGAGACCTGCGTTTTTAGAAGTTTTTGCTAAAGAAATTATTAAAAACCAACGGTTCAATATTTTTTCAAACGATTTCCGCCAAAATGGATATAACAGTTGTTTGTATATTATATCCTAAACTCAACCAAATACATAACTCCCAATTGAGTAGATGGAGCTTTGATCGAAGTCAATGGATCCACTCTTTTGTTTTTCTCGGAAAAGATACTCAAAAGCAGTATTTATTGATGGTTGCGTATCGAAAAAAATCTGAAGTCTCCTCTATAATCAAAGGAGAAAACAGTCCGATTGGTTGAAGCGATGGGAAGATATTGAAGTTTTTATTGTATAGATATTAATGGTAAACGCTGCATATGAAAAAGAAATGTGAATATCTCCGCTGCGCTTTCATCAAATGGGCTACCGTTTTTGGTAGTAGATGACAGTTGCAAGTTTTGCTTGTTATAGATAAAAAAATGCCTTACAGTTAAGAGCTCAGAATCGAAATAGTACTCATTATGGCCAAATTAGAGTTTCCAACTATAGTCCGAAGACATTTTCAACGGGAAAATGTGTCCGACATTCCCACCGTGTTGACTGTTCAAGCTATTTATGATAAATTTATGGAAACTGGCTTGGTGAAAGACTGCGTGATAGGTGAAATTGCTCAAGTTCTGCAAAGTGTGTCGACCACCAGTGTTCGAAATGTTGCCACGGAAGATAAATTGTAAAAATCGGTGGTGCATCGTACAATGTGTGAAATATTGAGGTAGAAGCCACACAAGTTGCATTTGATACAACAACAATTATATGATTAAGACAAAGATTTACGTGTCGAAATGGTAAAATATTTGATACCCATTTTTGAAGATAAAGATAACAGTGATCTAACTGTTTTCGGACGAAGCATCTTTTCACCTTTTCGGCATTGTTGGCAAGCGTAATTGTCATATTTGAGCGCAAACCAATCTATTTGTTAGTATCCATGTTACAATAAATTCGCCAAAAATTATAGTATGGTGTGCGATGTCAATCAAACAGATAATTGATTCTTACTTGCTTTAATGAAGAAACGCTTAGTCAACACAATTACCTTGATATGCTTCCAAAATTATTTTTGTTCGATAATGAAGAGCAAACGAGTGGCTAATAAGATGACTTTTCAACAAGATAGAGCGCCACCATGTTTCGCAAAAGAAGTTCGCGTCTGGTTAAACAATACATATGCAATTTTGATGATCCATGAATTGGAAGAGGTGAGCTGGTTTCATGGACTCCACAGTCACCAGATTTGACATCACTGAATTAATTTTTGTGGAAACATGTCAAAGCTTAATGTTAATAAAACATGAGTGAAAGATATGGAGGATATTATGTCCAGAATGATCCGAGAGGTCCGATCGATTGCACCAGAAACCTTGCATAAACTTTTTTCGGAAATCATAAAAGGGCTACATTTCTATATATAAGTCAATGGTGACAGTTTTGAGCAATACTTGTAAACTTTTCGTTTATGAATGAAAGTGCGACGGAGATATTCAATTTTTTTATCGTATAGTTACTTTTGAGACGCCCTGTACTTACACTTCGGATATATTTTTTTGCAAAGTGCAAAATTTGTAATACAATATTTTCTGGAAAAATCTAGAGCATTATTCTCTACAATACTCTGTGAAAAGAAACAATTCAAGGCTTATTTCTGGCATTATTTCTGGTCAAAACGAATCTGTAGTAAAATCGGCCACTTCGAAGTGCACCGATTGAGAAACTAGTTACTTGATTTATTCTAGTACAACAAATCCAAGGGATTTGTGTATTGACAATTTACTGTTCTCAATTTTACTCTCTCTGGAACCACTCGAAAGAAAGTATA